CACGCTGGATAACAGACTTAAATCTCAGGTATGAAACCATTAGAATTCTAGAGGAAATGTTGAAACACTCTCCTAGACATCGGCCTAGGCAAAGAGTTTATGAAGAAATCCCCAAAGGCAATCAAGCAGCAACAAAAATAAATAAATGGGACATGATGAAACTACAAAGCTCTGCACAGCCAAAGAAACAGTCATGAAAGTAAACAGACAACCTACAGAATGGGAGAAAATTTTTGCATCCTACGTATCTGATAAAGGCTGATAACTAGAAATACTTAGAACTCACGAAAATCAGCAAGAAAAAATCAAAATAACCCATTAAAAAGTGGGCAAAGGACTTGAACAGAAACTTTTCTAAAGAAGACAGAAGAATGGCCACAACATATGAAAAAATGTTCCTCATCCCTAATCATCAGGGAAATGCAAATCAAAACTACAATGAGATATCACTTAACTCCAGTGAGAATGGCCTTTATCAAAAAGTCTCAAATAACAAATGCTGGCTGTGAATGTGGAGAGAGAGGAACACTCCTACACTGCTGGTGGGACTGCAAACTAGTTCAACCTCTGTGAAAGCAATATGGAGATACCTTAAAGCGATACAGAGTGATCTACCATTTGATCGCAGCAATCCCATTGCTGGGATCTACCCAAATGACTCCAATGACACTCTACAAAAAGACACCTGCACTCGAATGTTTATAGCAGCACAATTCATAATCACAAGGGCTGTGGAAATAACCCAAGTGGCCCATCAATCCAAAGAATGGATTAATAAAATGTGGTATATGTATACCATGGAGTACTATTCAGCTCTAAGAAACAACGGTGATAGAGCACATCTTATATTTTCCTGGTTAGAGCTGGAACCCATATTACTAAGTGAAGTATCCCAAGAATGGAAAAACAAGCACCAGATATATTCTCCAGCAAACTGGTATTAACTGAGTAGCACCTAAGTGGACACATAGGTACTACAGTAATAGGGTATCAGTGGGAGCCAGGGGGGGCAGGTATATACATACATAACGAGTGATATGTGCACCATCTGAGGGATGGTCATGCTGGAGACTCAGACTTGTGGGGGGAGGGGGGGAAGGGCATTTATTGAAACCTTAAAATCTGTACCCCCATAATATGCCGAAAAAAAAAATCCTTACAACAACATTACTATGAAAATTTTTTATACCTATTTTACAGATACTGAAACTACGGGCAAGAGACATTAAGTAATCTACACAAAGGCACACAAATGTGTGTTGGCATTCATATCCCACTTTGTCTCAGCCATTATGCAGTCCTGCGTCTAGGTGGTTGTAATAAAACAGCTAATGTTATCAAGCAGGGAAGAACTGACAGCATGGTTAGTTAGACATGTTAATTTCTCACACTATATAATTTCAGGTGAATTAGAAAGAGTTCATTCCCATTAGCCACTGCCTCCTATTTTTCTTATGTCACCATTAGGGATGCATTGCTTTGAGATATCAAGTACCATTAAAATGGGAATTGAAATATGGCAGCATGGCATGAATCATTAAATATCTAGTTGATAATATAGTCAGTCAGGAAGAAGGCACAAGATATCAGTAGACAGGAATAAAATATGAGCAAAAAACTTAGAATATTCCCCAAAGCAAATTTTATCTATTTCACACATTTTTAACACTTGGCTGGTAAATGACAGCAGTTATTCTTTTTTCAATATTTGTAAAAGCAAATCTGGAATCCTAGGCAGGGAGAAAGCCAAAGAGTCTGGAACACTTTCAGACCAAATAAAAATGTTAGAACTTCTGGTAGAGTTATAGAAACCCATCTGGGTCTAAGAAATTATGTAAGGAGGAAAGTTAGCAATTCAAAAATGAGAAAGCTAACAAAGACAGTTTCATTCCAGGAAAAGTGAACAACACCAGCAGCTACTCAGCTGCCAGAAATGTTTTGCCTTTTCCAATAAAGAAGCCTAAAGAAATGGATAGTAAAAAGAAGAGAACAGAAAGAGCTCCTACTGAGCTCAATCCTTCACACTTGGCCCAATAAGTCCCTGACAATCAGTGTTTGTTAGTGTCTACAGGGAAAATAGTTTTGCCATTTCAGATCAGAAAAAAAATCAAACAAACAAACAAAAACCATTTGACTTTATTTGGAGACTGAAATGTATCAAAGATTGTTAGCATTCTTGGCACTAAAGATTAGTCGTTGTGTATTCCCTGAACTTTCACAGAGGACCAAAGAAAGCAGAGGTCCTATGTTAGAAGAATCAGCATTCTCTCACAGGAAAAATATTAATCAATAATAATAATAATGCTAATAAGCAATAATAACTAATTTGGCCAGAATTTTTCTATGTCAGACATTGTGCTACTTGCTTTACAAAGGCTATCTTATTTAATATTTCCAACAACTTCATGAAGTAGTCACTGCATTTTACATTTGAAGAAGCTGAGAATAAGAGAAATCGTGGGACATGGCTAAAAAAATTCAGCTATTAAGCAGAGGACCATGATTTGAAATTGGCTCTGAGTGCAAAGCTTTCATTCTTGAAAATCATGAAATATGTAAACATGTTGAGTTTTATTGAAAGTGCTATTTTGGTGAGGCTCATCCTGCTACAGTTTTCTAGGTAGCATTTCTGGACAAAACTACTCTCTCTCTTTCTCTTTCAATGAACATATACAGAAAAAATATATAGAAATGTATGTATATATATATATCATCTACAAATTAATTTATATGTGGTGAAAATATGCATATATGTGCTCTATAACTGAATAGAATAACACTATAATGTCTTAACTTAAAAACAACACAAAAATAATTGATACCTGAATTTTATCATTATGAAAGAGAAAACAGAAGAAAAACAAATTCACTTTGAATACTTAATTTTAAAAGTGCTATTTTCTGAATAGCATTATGGATGTCAAAAATTCATGTTGTGCACTGCCTTTGCTTACTAAAAGCATTTATTAGGTCAAGATGGACAGTGACATATTTATAAAGTGTGTTTATAAAACATACAGCATAATAAAACAGCTAAATAAAATGGTTCATAAAAACTGTTTCCATACAGACAATACAGAAAAACAGATGTGGTGCTCATGCAATTGTCTGAGACTCTAAGCTCAGGGCAGAGTCCAGATGGTAAAATGTTCATCACCGTGACCAATGTGATAACACCTAGTTATAAAGGAATAAAAGTAAAAGGATCCAAATAATTGGATGGTGATGCAGATTGGGACACACACTATGACTAGAAGGATACAACTGAAGACCTCAATCCCACATAGGAACAAATAGACATCAGCTATGGTGCAATTGAAAGCACCCTGGCTGCAGATAAGAAGGATATGCTACCTGAGGCAAGTCCCTGGTTTATTTGGATCTTAGAATCTTCATCTCCACAGTGAAGACATCAATACTCCTTATCCTTTGGGGGTTATAGGTCTTTTGGGGAATTTGGTAGAAAATAATGCATATATTCACATATATGTGATATTTTATATAAAATATGAAGTATCCTAGGCCTTTAGAGCTGAAGATCCCTGAATTAAATTATCTTTATGGTCTTTTCCAGATCTATCATACTTTCACTTTTTTCTTTCTAGTACAAAAAAAAAAACAAAAAACCCAAAACATATTTTACATAGACTAAGATTTGACCTGTCCTCTATGACTAAATAACTAAATAATGGAAATTATACTTTGGCATTATAAATGTATTTGTGTGTGTTTGTGCATGTGAATAAGCATAATTTTCAGTCTTTTGCGACTGAAATCCAGGCTATGCTAGGTTTTACTTTCCATCTCAGTCAAACAATAACCCTCCGGTTATCAGTGACTCTCTTCTTTCAGGAGACTTCAAAGTGGTTAAATCTCTGATTGAAGATAGGTTTCATGCTTGCTGGACAATTCAAGGACAACTTACAGCATCTCTTGATAAAAAAGACAGTGACAAGGACAGCTGATGTGGATCCCCTGTTGATGTGAGGAGAACCTGGCTCTGTCTTCATTACTCCTGGACTACCACAGTTCCTATAACATCAATCTGTCTTAGTCTATTTTATGTTGCTTGCTATAACTAAATGCAACACACTGGGAAATGCTTTTAAAATAGAGGTTTATTTAGCTCCTGGTTCTTGTGACTGAGAAGTTCATGGCCATGCACTAATATTTGATGAGGGCCTTCCCTGCATCATGAGGCATCACAGGGTGAAACAAAGCTAGCTCAGGCATGTCTTCTTCTTCTTCCTCTCTTTATAATGCCATAATCCAATCATGAGGGTCCCACCCAGATGACCTTATCTAAGCCTAATTACATCCCCAAAGCCTACCTCCAACCAGCATATGAATTTGTGTATTTAGTTTCCAACACACAAATTTGGGGGATTTGGGAGACACATTTAAATCATACCACTAGTCTCTTTGCCAGTACAGTTGTGTAACATGGAGAAAGAAAGAAAGAGGTTTGGGGCCATTAGATATGATCAATTTACTACACACTTAAAATTTCAAAAGAATGACTAATAAGAACCATGAAACAAGTTAATAATATCTGTTTATATTTCTTTTTTATATTATATTTCTTTTTATATATTTTTTAAAGTTTCAAGAAATTTTTTCATTTATTTTAAAGATATTAATAAAAAACTTAACATACTAAGAAAGTTACAATATACGAATGTGCCCAATTGCAATTTTGACATATTGACTTTTTTGTACCATATATCACCTTGAGTTTCTTTTAACCACTCACATTTCCATTGTTCAGTTACTTAAACTGATTATTCCCTAAAAACCCTTTGCTGGTAATTTAAGCATGGAATACATGCAATGAGGGAAAAAGTACAGATGACTGTGCCACCCAATCAAGTGTCCGACAAGGAAACATCAAAATACCATTCTCTTTGGGAGAAAACTGCACCTATTAAAAAAATAAATAAATAAATAAAAACAGCTCATGGGGGGGGGGTCTAGAAGCAAAAAAAAAAAAAAAAAAAGAACACTGTATAAATTATTCCTTAATTGGAATGTGAGCACCTTCCTTCTTTTTTATTTTGTCTGAAACCCATATAATAGCCAGTATGATAGCTACTCATGTACCAAGAGATTAACATACTTCCCAAAGCATCAGTATCATCAAGAGAATCTGGACACATGGGAGGTGGTGGGAGAATTATTGGTGGTCAAGAAGGAAGTGGAGGCAGCCAGCATGACAGGGAGTGGGGAGGTGGTGGTAGTGGTGGTGGCAGGCCACTGAATTTTAAACCTGGCTTTCCTAGTCCCGGGCCTGACCCAGGCATGGGGGGAGGTGGAGGGAGAAAAGAGTTCCATGGAGTAGCTTTTGCCTTGATGTTATCTGGCTTATTTCCAGGAGACCTGGAGTTCTCACTTTCATCTGTTGAAACTTGACTTTCATTTTCATTCTCTTGAGCCTTCCATTCTATGTTTCTTTTTGTAAAGAAAATTAATTTTAAATATCACATATATTAATTGTAAAAAAATAAGTCATATCAGATGAACAATGATTTCTATATTCAAATTTAAGTAAATTGCTATATGAATATTTATACTCAGATAAGTATACATATTTGTATAAGTATACATAACAAATAACTTCTAAATATGGATAAAAATAGCTAAAGTAAAAAAAAAAATACTAAGTGCTAATAAAGCTAGAATTTATGTAAAAACCACTCCTTCAAGGAGATGGAACTTAACTCCCCACCCCTTAAGGGTGGATTATGCTTAGTGACTTACTTCCAAAAGTAGATTATAGAAAGAAAGAGAAACAAACAAATAAACCTTACAGGGAAGAACCTGGCAATCAATACCTTGGCCCAATGATCATGGTTAATTTCACCGATGATGTTATGTTGGTAGCATGTACCCTTGATAAAATGTGATGAAAACAGCCATTCAGCACTATAGTCTTCCTCCCTAAAATCCATAATCCCAGTCTAAACCATGGGAAAAAAAATAGACAAATCTAAATTGAGTAACATCCTACAAAATATCTTCCAGCAATTTTCAAAACTGTCAAAGTTATCAAAAACAAAGAAAATCTGAGAAACTTTCATAGTCAAGAGGAACCCAAGGAGACATTAATAACTGTACTGTAAGGTCGTAGATGGGATTCTGGAACAGATAAAGAACATCAGGGAGAAAAAAACTAATGAAATATGAATAAAATATGGAGTTTAGTCAATAGTAATATAACATTTATAAATTGGATATAATTTATATGGCATGTATGAATGAATATTATAAGAATAATAGCATCTGTTTCCTCTATAATTGATAATAATTTATATGCATTTTCATTAGCATGAGTAGAATCCTAAGGCAGGTAAGTAAAAATGAAATGACAAAAATCTGTAGAGGCCACTTGTCATTATTCATTGTAATCATGTTAGAGGGGCAAGTTTTGGGCAAGAAAATGACATATTTTAATACAGAACACATTATCTTGTGATGAGACTTTGACTCAATTGTCTAAATAAAAACAAAAGGTTTTAATGTTAGTATTATTTTAAATAATTCTGACCCAAACCAAAATAGTGTACTCCCTATGTCATATGCATTATATTTATTTTTTTACTGTGATTTATATTTTTACCCACTAATCTTCCTTCTCCAAAAGCAAATAAGAACTACCTTGAAGTCAGCAGGCATCATATCTAATTTTTTACCTTAATTGCTTCTAGCACCTCATAGCATAACTTTACACATTTTTGCTTGCTTGATTTTATATTTTGTACTTATATATTAAATTTGTCTACATGTATCATTATTGACTTTACATATTTTGCGAAACTCTAAAATTCAGTAAAAATTGCATACTGGTTGTAAAAATCTAAGTTTTGTACGCTATCTAAAATTCACAAAAATTGATTTGTTATTTTCCTTTTCTGTGAGGACATTTATTGACAATAATGTCAGGTTTTTATTTTCAAAAATTTAAAATATAAGTTTAAAAATGTTTGGTTAAGAAGACAAAATTTTAACTTTTTACATAGTATTATTATGAATAATATATTTATCAATGAGATTTGTATCTGCTCATTGATTTGCTTCCTGTATCTTAGCATCATGTTGACCGTTATAATGTCTTTTTTAAAGGTTACTCATCTTTATCTACACTTTTGAACATAAACTGCATGCTGAAGCATTTTACATATTCAAATAAGATAGTGTTACATTTGCTATTTCTGTTTTTATTATTTGTATTAACATAAACTCAAGCTGTATACCATTGGTCCTAGCAAAGGGACTTGAAATTCTATCAGACAAAGAAAATTATTTATTCAAAACTAAAACTGACAATTTTTTAAAAATACATCTCTAATAAAATTTTGGTATGCAAGCAAGCTGCTTTATATTTGGTGCAGCACATAGGGTAATGATAACTGTGTTATATACACTGTCTAACAAGATTACTTTGAAATGATACCTAGACAGTTTCACTAAAATTAAATCATTATAAAAGAATCCTTGGTCATAGGACAAAATACTATATTCAGATTCAAAAGCCTACACAGAACTTTAGTTCTTAAGTTTCATGGTCAAATATGTGTTTTACACTATAAAGGTGATTACACACTCAGCAAAAGTTATCTTAGCAGCACAAAATCAATTATTTTCTAGGGACTTACTTTTCATATGAATTATGAAACAGAAGTCACATAACAAAATATAATTATCATTAATCTGGTCGTATACTGAAACTTTCAAACCTTAGGATGACCTTGTGTTTTTATAATGTTTATTTATTTATTTTTTTTTTTGCAATAAGGTTATATGGATTTTGCTAGATAAATCATCTTCCAGATCTTGCTACAAAAGCTGCTCTCTTAGGAGAAGGCTATAGGCATAAAAATTGAATAATGTATGCAATGTCATTTCTGAAGTTTGAATTGGGGTGCTAAATTTTCTGGCAAAACCTGAATTTATTATTGTGTGGTATCTTGGATGCCATCAAATAACAGGAGTTACAAGAGACAGGATCTCTTAAGGAAAAGACTTTAAGTTACCAAGCAACCGCTGTTTCCTGTTAATGGTACCTTCACCTCCCCTCCCCCATCCCACTCCCTGCCAGGATAGACTAACACTGCTGCCTAAAGTTGGGAAATACAACTACTGACTAAGGACTTCAGAGCATGTTATAATTGTATTATTTAAAGCTTTGAGTAAAATCCTTTGTAATCCAGCTTGTATTTGGTCTCGATGTTGTTTGGCTTCCATGAAAGGAAGGAGCCAATGAGGCCTGTGAAATACCCTAAACTTTACTGCAAAATCATTCTCTGTCTTCCCTTCAGCATAACATGTTCTTCTGGGCCTACAGTCAATTCTTACTGGAATAAGGCCAGGCTGATTCATGATGATTTTTTTTTAAAAATCATTACAACTTAAAATACCACTAGCTCTTTTCTAAATTTATCCAGTTGAGAACCTTTCCATGTGATACACAAACTTAAGGTAGACATGACTCTAAGTATAAAGGAAATTAATGAATAACTAAATAGTTTGACTTTAGAGTTCTCACAGGGTCTGTCTATTCCCAAAGCTTATCCATCTACATAATAATGAATGTTTGCATTTTACTTGACATCTGATTCACCAAACACAAAATAATTTTGACATCTATTTTTCTACTTTGTATCTTCTCCCTCATGCCCACCCAACTCTTGCCGAATATCTGTCATCCTGTGTATTACTTTTCTATTGCTGCAGTAACAAATACCCACAAACTTAGTGATCTAAACCAATATAAATTTATATTTTACAATTCTGTATGCCAGAAGTCTACCAGGCTAAAATCAAGGTGTCAGCAGATTATATTCCTTTCCAGAGGCTCCACAAAACAATCCATTTCTTGCTAATTTGGGTTGTTGGCAAAATTCAGTCCCTTGTGTTTGCAGGGCCAAGGTCCCTGTTTTCTTGCTGGCTGTAAACTGAGATCCATTCCCAGCTTTCAGAGGTCACTGCATTCCTTGGTTCATGGGCTTCTTCCTCCACTATCAAAGGAAACAGTATAAAATCAAGTCCTTCTTATGTCTCATCTCTCCCACCAGCCTTTCTGCCTACCCTGTCCACTTGTAAGGATGCATTTGATGAGACTGGGTCCAGGTGGGTAATCCAAGATCCGTACCTTCAATGTAATTTACAACCTTAAAATTCCCTTTTGCCATGCAACATAACATAGTCATGGGCTGGGAGAATTAGAACAAGGTGACATTTTTGGATTTTCAGGGTTGACCCCCTCAACCATAGATCTGATTGCCCTTATAAAGATTTCTCACATTTTTATAATTTTTATTTCAAAATATTAGAAGGTATAAGTGTTCTTGTTACATGGATGAACTGTGTAATACTGAATTCAGGGCTTTTAGTGTGCCCATCACCAGAATAGTGTACATTGTGCCCGATAGATAAGTCTTTATCTCTCACCTCTCTCCTACCATCACCCCTTCTTAGCTTCCAATGTCCTTTATACTACTTTATGACCATGTATGCCCATCATTTAGCTCCCACATATTAATGAGAATATGTAGTGTTTGTTTTTCCAGTCATGAGATACTTCATATAGCATAATGGTATCTAGGTCCAGCCAAATGCTGCAAATGATATTATTTCATTCCTTTTAATGGCTGCACAGAACTCCATGGTATATATATATAGAACATTTTCTTTATTAACTCTTTCATTGATAGGCACTTAGGTTGATTCCATATCTTTGCAATTGTGCTACAAAAAACATTCAAGTATAGGTGTCTTTTTGACATAATGACTTTTTTCCCCCTTCTGGGTAGATACCCAGTAGTGGGATTATTGGATCTAATGGTAGGTCTACTCTTAGTTCTTTAGGAAATCTCCATACTGTTTTCCATAGAAGTTGTACTGATTTATAGTCACACCAACAGTGTATAAATGTTCCTTTTTTCCTATATCTATACCAACATTATTGTTTTTTAATTTATTTAATACTGGCCATTCTGATACGAGTAAGGTAACATCTCATTGTGTTTTTAATTTGCCTTTCCCAGATTTCTCATCTCTGTTCCTCTTTTCTATACCTCTCTATACCCTAAGGGTCTCTTTCTGCAAAGAGGATAATTTATTAAATCAATGGGTGGGAATTCATATTTCTTCACTCTGTAAACATTTACTCATTGTCTAACAAAAGACACCCTCTATAGGAAATGCATCAATCCCAAGTCAAAACTCTAAATGTTTGCATTGTACAAACTTAGGTAAAATTATGCAACCAATATTGCAAACAACAGGGTCCTTTAGTAGCCATTAATTCATATTACATACTCAGTATTTTATGAATACAGGATTAATCAAGCTCTATAGTTTTCCTGGGTCTCAAATTTTGAACACAAGAATCATTCCCTGTGCTTTATTTTGACAATAAAAGTATCTAATGTAATTTTATTACCTTGGAGTGGAGACATATTTTTCGTTTTCCCCAGTGAAGGGTAGTTTGATCCCATTGATCCATGATAGTATACACTTCTTTCTTCCTGCTTCTTTTCTATATTTTGTTTATTTTTTTAGAAAAGGTTTGTATTCTTGGCTTCCATTTGTTGCTGTTGCTGATTTTGCATCACAATAATTTTAGGACATAAAAAATCAGCTTAAAATAAATTTATCCAATTTTTGGAAAGCACACATAGTATATATAATTCCTTCAGTAAAGGGACAAAGGAAAAATTTAAGGAAAGTAGCTTGATCTGATTTATTTACAAAGTATGGAGACTTAGTAGCTGAATTTTACCCCACTACTTATCCAAAATATCTACAAACACTCTCTGTGCATCAGGGAAAAAAAAAGTTATTTTGAATTGCTATTTTCTACTTCCTTTTACACTTGGTCTCCAACTCCATTTCCCTGAAAAAAAATTGATGTTTTGGATATTTTCTATTTTAAAATAGTAATGCATTTTTGAAAATAAATAATAATAATAAAACCCCCACTGGCAACTGCTATTCAACTTGGGAACTCAAAATTAAATTAAATTCTTCTGCACATTGCCACTATAAAATTTACCATCAGAAGCTTTAGAAATGTGCTGATGATGCACAAAAGAAAATGAAATTCATTTTGGAGGGGGGGAAATAAATTAGCTCTCTGCAATGGGTAGCCTTAGTCCCCAAGCAATAGCCTAGAGTCTATAAAGGACTGATTGTTTGAAATCAGGACATATATAAAATCAAGAGAAAAGGTCATATTCTCATTATGTATTTTGCCAGCTCCGATAATAGTTCATACTATTTAGTTAGTCTCACATTCATCTATCTATTGACAATTTTTATTCAGCTCTAAATGAATGGCAATGTATAGTAGTATCTGGATTGCCAATACAGCATAGATATAGACATATTCTGCAGTGGATAAACCAATTATTAACATTTTGTTTTTCACACTGATTTCAAGCAAGAATACAATGTCATACATCTTAATTCAATAATTATCCTTGCAAATATATACACAAGATGAAATCTAACCTACAAATATTGAAGAATAAGGAATATTCATGAAATTCAATTTTCCATGCTACTCTTTGGTAAAAAGTAAAATATAATAGAAAGTAATAGAAAAGTGTATATAAAGAAAAAATAAAAGTTTATTCAAAAGTATATTGGAGAAAAGGAAAAAGAGAAGAAAATAGAGAACAAGAAATAAAATCTGTCTTTGTACCATACTTTTAATATGAAGAATCTCCTTGAGATCTTCAAGGTTGGGATCAAAGGCTAGTAATAAGTCGCTAATACTTTATGCCAGGAAGGAGTCTTTAAAATACTTGCTTAGTCATTTATGTGTTACACAAAGACCAAAAGGTAAAAAAAAAAAAAAAAAAAAAAAAGATGACTTCCAATTATTTATCCATTCACCCATGTGTCTGTGTCTATCCGTATATCACTTTCCAAGCTTCCATTAAATCAGAGTGTTTTCAGGGAGTGAATAAATAATTACTGCATTTATTTATTTTTTTACAAAACCTATGTGCTTCTTTACATTTCTGTTTCTCTGCCATTTGCAGAACACTTTGATAAATAATAGTACTGTGCTTAGAGGTAGGACAAGGCATAATGCCAGATCTGTAACACTCTAAATTCCATGTTCAAAAATATAATGCACACTTCGTTTCTCTTGAGAATAAAAGATAAAATAATTTGTGACCTTTGGCAAGTTACTTAATTCTTCTGTGCCTCAGTTTTCTTTTTCTTTGAAACAGGGTTAGTTGTAGCATCTGCCTCAAAGGGTCCTTGTGAAAGTTAAATGATATTATACTGGCAAAGTCCCTAGCTCAGAGTTTGGTCTGTATCAAGTATTTGATAATTCTTAGTCTTTATTTTTACCTTAATTCATATTTATAAGTCAGTCAATCATAGTCACAATCCCAGTGACCTCAAGAAATAAAAACTCAAGTACTCTCAGATGTGCAAACTATTACTGCATTAGTCAGTGTTCTCCAGAGAAATAAAACCAACAGGAGATAGATAGATAGATGATAGATAGATAGATAGATAGATAGATAGATATTAATAGATAGATACTAATAAATAGATATTAAGAAATAGATAGATATGGCTGAGAAGCCCAACAATATGTGCTCTACAATCTGGACAACTAGGAAGCCAGTGGAGTCCCAGGCTGAAGGCCTGAGAACCTTGGAGATTCACCACTTGTCCACTCCCAGGTCCCCACCACTGATGCAAGACCCAGAGTCTGAAGGCCCAAGAACCAGGAGCTCTGAGGTTGGAGGTCAGGAGAAGATGGATGTTCCAGCTCAAGAGGAGAGACAATTCACCCTTCCTCTGCCTTCTATTTGAGCCCTCAGTGGGTTGGATGATACCAAGCCACATTGATGAAGGTGGATCTTCTTTACTCATTCTATTGATCCAAATGCTAATCTCTTCTGGATACACCTTCACAGAGACACAGAAATAATGTGCTACCAACTATCTAAGCATCCCTTATGCCAATCAAGTTGACACATAAAATTAATCATCACAATGATCAAGTCAGATTCTGGTCCATAGCATTGAGTCAAGCTTGCCAAATTCTGTTGGCACCTTTACTTGTCAAAGCCCACTAAGGTAAGACCACCATGGTCACACTGGCAGGTAAGTTTTGTTTACTGGCTTGCAAGTTACAACACATGAGCAGAAACATGAGCATCTCAGAAGGTGAGTGTTAAGAAAGTAAACTTAGATTATTTGTGGGGTACAGTTACTCACCCAGTTTTTGCAGCGTTTGGACATAATTTGTAAACTAAGCAATTGTCTGGGATAGCCAACTTTCTTATCTTTAGAACACATGACCTCATGCCAAATTATGGCTAGAGTTGTTTGTATGGTGTCTTATTAATATATGGTTGTTAACAAACAGTTTGTAGTTACTGAGTCTTGAGTTTGGTTTTGGTACAGTTTATCTATTCTGTGACTCATGGGAATATTTTACAAGTTGTAATTTATATTCAATTCTAGGTCCCTCCATCCCGGCCTATTTGCCAACAGGGCCATTTTTTACATTATCGGCAATTAGTTTGGAGACTTCCATTCCAGTAGTTCTGGCAAGAAATAACTGTGGTTTGAAGAAGATACTGTAAGTGGAAATGGAAATAAATGGCTGAACTTAAGGAATATTTATGAGGCAAAGCTAACAGGTTTTGGTGATTGATGAAACGCCAGG